AAAACCTGGATGACCCTTAATTTTCTCCTGTTGAACACAGACAAGACTGAGGTTTTAGTTTTTGGACCTGAGCACCTTAGGAATAAATTTTTCAGTCTTTCTCCCTCCTTAGATGGCATTAATCTGTCCTCCAGCTCTAATGTTAAAAATCTTGGTGTTATTTTATCCCCCACATTAAAAACATTACTAGAACCACCTACTTCCACCTGTGTAACATCGCTAAAATTAGAAACAACTTATCTAAAAGTGATGCAGAAAAACTGGTCCATGCATTTGTCACGTCTAGACTGGACTATTGCAATGGTTTATTATCTGGGTGTCCAAATACTTCTATAAAATGTCCAGTTGATCCAAAATGCTGCTGCCAGAGTCTTAACTGGAGTTACTGGGAGAGATCATATCTCTCCAGTTTTAGTTTCTCTCCACTGGCTTCCTGTCAAGTCCAGAATAGAATTCAAAATCTTACTTCTAACCTACAAAGCTCTCAACAACCTAGCTCCATCTTATATTGCAGATCTTATTGTTCCATATTTTCCTAACAGAGCACTTCGCTCTCAGACTGCAGGTTTACTTGTGGTTCCTAGAATTTACAAAAAACAGAATGGGAGGAAGATCTTTCAGTTCTCAGGCTCCTCTCTTGTGAAACCAACTTCCAGTTTCTGTCCATGAGGCTGACACATTATCCAGTTTTAAAACTAGGCTTAAGACTTGATTTTTATTGTACAGCGCTTTGTGATTTTGTCTGTGATAAGCGCTTTATAAATAAACTTTACTTACTTACTTACCAAGACTTTCCTTTTTGATAAATCCTATAGTTAGGGTCAGCTTGGGTTTCCTGAGCTGTCCCTTAGTTATGCTGCTATAGGCTTAGACTGCTGGAGGACAAACTGACCACAATTTTCACTCTTCTACTGTCTTTACTTACTCTGCTCAACCTGTTTTATATTTGTAATTATTTTTTCTATCCTTAACACGTGTTTTTGTCTTTCAGGTACACCTGGACCTATACCTGGACCTATACCTGGACGTATACCTGGACCTATATCTGGACCTGGACCTATACCTGGACCTGGACCTATACCTGGACCTACCATTCTGTGTTCGTCTGTCTCTCCTTCCTGTCCTCTCAACCAGCCGGTCAAAGCAGATGGCTGCTTGTCCTGAGCTGGTTCTGCTGGAGGTTTCTTCCTTTTAAAAGGGAGTTTTTCTTTCCACTGTCTCCACTGTGCTTGCTCAGGATGGGAGACTGCAATGAAGCCAAGATTCAACTTGTCGGCTGGATTCCTTAGATAGAGAACTTTACTAATTGGCTTTTATGTGAATGTTCCTGTAAAGTCCCTGAGACAACTTTGTGTGATTTGGCGCTATATAAATAAACTGAATTGAACTGAATTAAAATATATAAAAACATACAATATAACAGTAAAGGGCAATAATTGTAATAAATAATAATTTAAAACAATGTCAATTTAAGATCTAAAACACAGGCACTGTTGACAAGATATACATTATCTGGGTTTTTTTCAAGTTTGCCAAAAACGCTCAAAGTAAGAAGTTCTGACAGTTTTAATTCAGCTTGCAAGGCATTCCAAGCTGAAGGGGCAGAAAAGCTAAAAGCTTTCTTGCCCTTTTCTGTTTGCATATGAGGAAAATAGGTGTAAACAGTCCTTAGCAAATAAGGCATATCTACAGTCCATTTTTCTAATAAAAGGACATAAATAATGTGGAAGCAGGCCAATAAGTAACTTATACACCAAAGTCATCAAATGTACCGTATTTTTTGCCTTATAAGTCGCAGTTTTTTACATAACTTACATGCCCTGTGACTTATAGGCCGAAGCGATGTATTTATGGATATATTCCCATATTTATAAACCGATTTTTGGCTGAGATATGACCATTTTCATTTGGCTATAATGACAAATTCAAAAAAGTTCAAGACAAAAACAACTAGACTTTATTTATTATACTTTACTTTATACTTTATTGTTTTCTCTTGAACTTTTTTGACTTTACCATGTCCGGGATTACTGCTGATTACTCCACCCCTGTTTAACGATGGATGATTTCTTTTCACAAATATGGCCTCCTTTACTCCTCTCTCAGACCATCGTTCCTCTCTATCCAGGATGTGAACATATTCATCCTTGAAAGAGTGACCGCTGGCCTGGAGATGAGTGTAGACCGCAGAGTCCTGGCCTGATGATGTTGATCTTCTGTGCTGGGCCATCCTTTTGGCCAGAGGCTGTTTTGTCAGACACCACTCTGAGCAGCAGGACCACGCTTTCCACAGAACAACTGTGTCAACTCTTGAAACTGTGCCTGCAGTCAACCTACTTCACATATGGGGAGCAATATTATAGGCAGAAACATGGGTGTGCTATGGGGTCTCCAGTTTCTCCTATTGTTGCCAACCTGTACATGGAGGAGGTAGAAAAGAGAGCCTTGACGTCCTTTTCAGGGACACCACCAAGTCATTGGTTCAGGTATGTTGACGACACCTGGGTTAAAAT